CCGTACGGCTTGAATTTTGACGTTTTTCAATTCTGACCGTCACATCAATAAATGTGTTCGTGTTGTTTTGCAAAAATGTGCCCAAAAACTAACGGTCGTAGAAAAAGTATAGTATGCAACACGTTCGCTAAACTTTTTAAGTCACTCGTTTATTAAACACTAGTGACTCAAATGGCATTTGTTGTATGTGCGCGACCAAGTTTTTGTATGTGCGTATATATTGTTAAATTTATGTATATAATTTACTTCTTTTTTAAAAAAAATCTGTTATAGGTCTGATGATACGCGCAATGTTTTAAGAATAATTTTTGAGGCCTATCGTTGTGGGTATCTTTAGGTCTTTCTAGTTTTGTGCAACCAGGTCTCGTCGAGTACCGAAAAACTTCCGACGTCTGCCTGAAGCCACCATTAAATTAGCAGATTAACGCCGCCCAATACGAAACCATAAATCTACGTCACTGGTGTGAAGGGGGTGGGGTACAGATACGTATAGAGTGCTGAATTCGCCCGCGATCGATAAAACGGTGTATCAAGGGCCCTCGTCCTCCCCCAGAAATGACGTTTCTCCGGCACATCTTTGTTTTCTTCGTCGACGGCCGTTTCGGAACTCGGAAAGTAGGGATCGGAGCGTGGGGGGACCGGGGGAACCATCCCCCAACAACCTCCTATTACGTACGAGAGAGTCGTTTAAAGAAAGACATCTCGAAACTTTGAGCGACGGGCCGAACAAATGGCTTCTAGTTCGCGTCTGCCGTCGGCGACAGGGATTGCGGGTGCCAGAGGCGCGCACATTTTTTTTATTCAATTCTAATCTGTCGGATCGCCTAATTTGCCGTCTAGAACGATATAAATGCTAAATAATGATAATAAAAGGTACTGTCGTCTAGGAAAACGCAATACTATGCAAATTCGACGCCCTTGCGTGTTTTGCTCCAGTGAAATTTCCTCAAAACCCCCCAAGGCGCCGTGAATCAATTAAAACTCGACTGCCGACCTACAAACGCCCGTTATTTGCCACAAACGCGCGACAATTTACCACAGAAATTTGCCTGGTAATTTTCTGAAATTATACGAACTGCTTAGTAGCGATGACTAGGAAATACACGAGCGTAATAGTAATAATGCTCGGAACTTGCAAATATTGACAATTAAAAAAAAAACAAGAATAAAGTTGTCCGAGCAATATATGGCTGAAAAATAAGAAAAACCAACTAAATCAATCATTTCCAACAGCAGCAAATAAGTAAATCCTAGGCAAATTTTTCGACTATTCAATATTAACACTATTATTCACCTTTCAGTAGTTTATTCCATTAATTTTTGAAAATCCTTTACATGCATTTTATTAAGGAAAGTTTATGTACAGGGTTTTCATTTATATTTTCACACCCACCTACGGAGTTTATTAAACGGGATAGGTAAAACTTTATTATTATCTTGGAAACATATCAATAAAAACAAATGATCGTACAAAAATTAACAACTTTACTTTTTTAAATAGAACACCCACCCTACATATTTAATAATAAATATATAAACTTAAATAATTGCAAAAAAGGCTAAACCAAATACCGACAAACCATATATTTTTGAAATAGGGTTAATCCTAAGTAAAAACTAAAATTGTTGACTTTTTGTACATTGCGGCGCTCATTTGTTTTTATTGGTACGTTCAGAAGGTAAATAGAGAAAAAATTAACTGAAAAGTATAGTATCGTAATAAAATGAAAAGAAATTGCAAAACAATCATAAAAATACAGTCCACCAAGCAATTCAGTTGCAATTTAGTTGCGAAACACAATCATTTTCACCAGCGTTAAAAATTAAATAAATTTTTCAATATAGATGGATCAATCAATATTAAAAAAACAAAATAATTCAAGAAAAATATAAAATTTCTGATTTTTCGAACCAGAAGTGTTTTCCATTAATTTCTTCAATATAACTAAAAACATGTCAAACTTGGATCAATCGATGGAATCTAGAGAAGGGTTTGATTGACTGATGATAGAAAATAGGAAATAACAAAAAAAGCGAAGAAAAATCGATGTCCAATAAAAATCTGTCTCATCCCAGACAATAATATGTGGCGTATTTAAAAGGATGGGGAAATTTTGGAATAAATTCTCAATAAAAGATAATTCTTGTTTACTTTTTACAACACTTCTGCATTCTTCCTGCTGAGTCGAAATTGCTGACATTTCGCCAATCATCCTGTTGGCTCCTTCTCGGCTTGACTGAAACTGGCTCGTATCGTATTCTGCACCTGCTTATATATTGTTTAAGGGGGGGGGGGGGCGCTAATGAGTTTAATGAGGTTAACAACCTTAACCGCGACTCAGGTCTCTACCTGTCATCCATTTGGGAATCAGTGATCCGAAACAGTGTTTATACCCCTCATTAGCGCCCCCCCTTAAACAATATATAAGCAGGTGCAGAGTAAAATACCAGCCAGTTTCAGTCAAACTCTGGAGAAGCCAACAGGATGATTGGCGAAACGTCAGCAATTTCGACTCAGCAAAAATCGACGCAGGAGGAATCCAGAAGTTTTGTAAAAAGTATTACAGTGACCTGTGGAAGTTTCTTTGAAAAAATAATTCTTGTTTACATTTATCAGCCAGCGAAATTGTTTAGAAAACGCATAGTTCAAAATAATATTACATCTTTCAAAATGATTAATATTTTTTAGAAACTATTGGAATTGAGGATAGGTTTTTCCTATGTAAAATAAGGAGGTTAATTAGGTGCTGCAGTTTCACATAAACAACTCTAGAATTTCAATTTTTTCGATAAAATAAAATATTATAGAGTATGTCACGCTAAACTTATTACAGTTCATAACGGATGACCTTAGCAGACCTTCCAGGAATTTTCCTATTTTTCCATATATTCCCGACCTCTGAGAATCCTACACAATACAGTGTGTCCAAGATTAGGATCCAAAGCATGGGAATCTCAGAACCTTTCGGTTCAAATTAGGAAAAAATTGTGTTCTTTGAAACTTTCTTACATACCGTTTAGAAACATCAAAAATTTTCATGGCCTGCTGAGATATTTGGGAAAAATGAGAATTTGTCAATGTTGAATTTATTTTTGCCGGACTATATTTGATAAATAACACTTTCTCATTGGCACTTTTAAGATACTATATGATGGTATTTTTGGATTTGATATTCGAAGTTTCGTTTTTAAGAAACTTCAACTTTCAACTTTTTGTTTCATATGGCCAGAAAAAAAAGTACACGATCTGATTACATTTTTTGCATTTCTTGTACTTTTTAAAAGTATTTTTAAGAAGGCGAATAAGAAAAATAAGTAACGAAAACAACAAATACATTAACGCATTTTTTATTTAATTCAAATCAGGTGTTCAAACAAGTTTCCGTTATTTTCTAAACATAAGTATGAGCTTCTAACTGTGGAACTTAAAACATCATGTAACATCTTGGGTGCAATACTGTTAAATCCGGCACGTTGTCGTAACTGCTTTTCAGATTCAAAAAAATATTGGTAAACTCGATTTTTAAGAGAACGCCATACGAAAAAGTGACGAGTTAAGTCCGGGGATCGATGGGAGCGAAACTTCCGAGAATCCGAGAATTAGATGCAACTCTTAGTGAGCACCTAAAAAATTATTCGATATTTAAGGACACTTCCAAATAAATTCAGAACGATCAGTTATAGTGCATGCTGAAGAATTCTCCGTTTTTGATTAAGGTAAGTTTTTTCCAAGAATTGCAAGCAAATTTTTCCACGAGCCGCCACTGGCCTAGACAGTCTACTATTACATACTTAAAAATTCTTACAAACACTTTCTCCATTTCTAGTAACAGTTATATACCTAGTATCTGAATCCTAAATTGCAAAAAAATTATATAAAACTCGGGAATAGTATTTTTTTGCCTAATTCCGCAGTTTTACGAAGAATATTAAAGAATATTATTACACACAGATACACCTAATATCTAGGTGCCTCTGATGTAGTCTAATATTTGTTCTGATGTATTCATTATTTAATAAATTTGATTGATTCATTGACTGATATTGTCAAATTCCCGTTTTTTTAAGTTTCTAAACGGAATGTAAATTAACTTCGAAGAGTGAAATCCGTGAAATTTTTGTAAGATTATAACGTGTATCCTTAAAGTTTTGAACATTTTCCATTAATTGAAACAAATTAGAATTTAAACAATGTCAATATGTATTTATTAAATAAATATTTTTAATTTACTTGTAGATTGGCGTCTACAAGCGGATTGGACCGTAATCTTGTCAAATACTATTGTTGAATTGAACGAACTTTACTTGTGGGATCTCTAATTTAGATTTTTTTCAATCCAATGTATTCATTGAAATTTATTCATAAACATATATTAATATTTATCAAAATTCTTTGCTAAATGCCTTAAACATGCCCTTTTCTATAAATAACATTATGTAACTAAAGTTATAGAGATAAATAAATTAATATGTGCAAAGTTGTTTTAAAATAACTTCAAACGCCCATATCCTAAAAATTAAAGGACAACCGCAAATTAGAGGATAACCTCAAATGTTCAAATTGATGTTAGCCATAGCTGCTGTATCACACGTTCCCGTTGTTTTTTTAACTTCCAAAGTAAACACGCTTTCTAAATCTGAAGAAAAAGAAACAATTAAGAAAAATAATTTTCAAATTAGTTTACTTTTCTATTTAATTATTTTTATTGTAATACTGACGCTGAGACAACACATAGGATTTTTTCAAAAAAGATTTTAAAATCGGGTATTTTTTAAAAATATATTTTAAATCTCAATAATTTGTAGTTTGTTAATTATTTTTCAAAATCGGTAAAATTCGTACAAAATCCATTACAATGCTGTGAAATCCCATGGTTATGTGAAATCTAGTGTACCAATTTTGGTTGGTGACTTGTCCCTTGATTTAACCAAACAGTCACGGTCCCGCTAATAAAGGTGGTGCTACACGCTCCGTTTGACGCAGGAATCTTCAGACTTACCTTAGATTCGGACTTAATCTTCTTGTTGGGCGGCGGCGTCGTGCTGTTCACTCTCGGATCGTCCGACACGCCGACGTTCCCGCCGCCTCCCATCGACGTCGAGTTCACCACGTTAGTCTGACACGCTCCGGTCCCGCCCGCCGCCCCAACTTTCGATTGTTCCGGTTTGGCGGCGGAACCTTGAGCGGTGGCGGCCGCGGGACTTTGAGGGGGTCCCGGCGAGGGACCCGACGGTACCGGCGGCCCCGGGCCGGTACTGGCGGGGAATAACGAGCGCGGCGGTCCCGGTTGGGGAGCGCTCGCCGCCCTTATCATGCCGTTTATATCCGCACTCGCGGCGCTATTCACACCCCCGAGCGACATGGCCGCCCCACACGAGTTCTGAACAACACCAACCGAACCAACACTTCCTGCACCACCGACACCAACACCGCCGCCGCCCCCCTGCATCCCCCCGGCACATTTCGATAATTGTTTGTCACCCGACGACGACGATGACGAAGCAGACGAAGATGACGACGACGACGACGACGTCGAGGAAGACGATTGACAGACCGACGACGGCTGCGACAGCGAGTTGGAAGTTGACGAACCGTGAACTGAAAATACAAAAAAAAAATTACTTTAAAAATGTATACAGACTTGTTCCAATATCAGCATCGGCTTTGACCGCTTAATAAGTAAGGTCAATTTTCACTAAGCACTCAAGTTACAGTACGCTAACGGTCAAGATTTGATTTTTCAATCTACAATCAAACGTCGTTCTTTTTTCTGTGGTCTCGACGTTGTAAACGGATTTTATGTTGCTTAAAAAACTGCTGAATAGTGAATTGGCTGCTATTGCAATATGTTTGGACGAAGGAGAGTATGAAAATAAAAAAAACAGAAAATTGATTAAAAAGCATTAAGCACAAACTTCGGAGTGAGTTTAAGACCGGCCTGTTCTAAAGCGGAAGGGGCCATTCTTTTCAGCACGTTTGCCACAAGGCAGGGCCGTATGTGGGATGTTAGCCGACAAGAACAGTGCCGTGCGGATTATGGTATTTTAAGAGTAGGGAAATTTCCTTTGGTTAAACTGTTATATAAATTCATATTAGTGTCCTTTTTATAAATCTTCCGAAAACAGTCCCTACTTGGGAAAGCTCGTTTTCAAGTTGATTAGATAGATGGATAGATCTCCTATATTAAAAACACATTAGAAAGCTTAAATTGATTTCCAATTTAAGGGTTTAACATAACGACTCTAAAATATTTTGCTAGGAAAATCTAGACAAATACAAAATCTTATTGATTTATAATGGATATTTTCCCAGTTTGCTATTGGTTGATTTTCTTAGCCATCGAAGTTTTGGAGTTATTTCTACTCCGTCTTCTGTTTGTGATTAGTAATTACCAACTTTTTCAAGATTCAGTGTGCCATTTTTATTCAGGTGCCATATTCATTTTAGTACAATTATGTTAGTCACTTGCGATGTTCAGCGACGCATTGGCCGGTTGCCCATAAAATTATAATTTTAAATGTGTTTCTGTTTCTGAAATCGACATCTGGGAAAAGTGAAGCTATAAAATTAACGTCCGAGATTGTGAATGTGTTGTGAATGGCGTCCAAGAAAGAAAAACGCGGAAAGATCGTGGGGTCCCAAAAAGTCTACTTGAAATGCACCATAACGGAAGAGTGAGGACGGTTGATATATGACACGTATCAGAAGAATATTGTTTTAACAATTGAATATTGTTTTAACATGAAGAGTTGAGTAATGTTTTGAACATTGGCTATTGTCAAGAAACTTTGCGTGAGTTCGTACGAAGAATTAGTTTTTATTACAAACCCACCAATACGAGTAAGTTTTGATGGAATCAGGAAGAATTTCGGAATGGAGGCCAAGATATTTAAGAGAAGTACGGTTTCGCGAGAGGGGCCTCCGGTTAGACCTTCATAAAAATTTACTAAAGTTAAATACCGGATTATGTGGTAAAAACGGTATATTGTTTAGTGAGGTGCATTCGGCGCATATATTATATACAGTGCTACAACTCCCACCATATTATCGTATATTTCAATCCCATGAAGCACAACTGAAATTTAAGCATTAAGTAACAACATTCCTCTCCCACTTCAAGTGTCTATATCCGGTTTTTGTAGATACGTTACCTAGAAAGTAAACAATCTGGTTAATCTTTGCTATTTATTTTTTTTTGTTTCTATTACCGACAGACTGGTAACACACAATCGAACGTCATCGCTTTGTCTAACCCTTTACATAAAGAACTTTTGGAAAATGAGCTGAAAATTTTTCAATACTTTCAAATGCGCATTTGATTATATTTTAAATAAAATTTCATCGGACTTGATAAGAAAAAATACAACCTTTCGAGAATATATCACACCCCTGAAGAAGTTTGTCTAGGCTAGGAAAATGACCCCTTTTAATCATTAAAATTATTATTAAAAACGATATGGATAATATCGACTGAATATACGAGACGGATTGTAGGCAAAAACAAAACCATTTTATTCCTAATAATACCTACAAAGCGGTAATTCGAAAAATAACATTAAATTTAAAATGCTTGTGGCATCTGAACTTTTAAGACTGCTATATATAAAAATTATATTTGTTTTTCAGTGGGGTAGGAGTTAGAGAACCATCGCTGCTTTTTTGAAGTGGTAAATATAATTTGTTTAACAGTAAAACCGGAAGTAGATTGAAAATCATAAACAGAGGTTTGTTGTCGTCTTTGGGGCTACTCGATCCTATTAGAAGTATGATGGGAAGTAGACTGTAAAGCTTGGAGGGAGCCTTCCTTACATGTCCTATCCAGAAGTTTATCGCGCATACAAATATCAATATCGAACATATAATCTGTTTTTTAACCGTGTTATAATATCGACGCATCATTGCCGTAAAATAAATCTATATGATTTTTTTCTTTCTCTGCCTTTTTCGAAACAAAAAACATCTTCACAGGGACGAAAGAAAGTACCACAGATGGAAGCGGAACACAATTGGCCGGCACCTGATGGCACTATATTCACATTAGCCGATAGTCATCCAACAGTCCAGTCTCGATATATTCAAAATATTGCATCCAGAAATGAAATAAATAATAAAGGCCAATTTCCAATAGAGGCACAAGTAGTGTTGAGGCTGGCTAATTGACCGCTTCCTTAATTGACTATTCAAATTCAATCGAAATGTTTTAAATAACATCTTATAAATCAATATGCGTTTGTGGAGTTCAATTCACCTATAACCATCTTCAAGGAGTACCGGAATACGAATTTCATTGTATTTTTGAAAATTATTTCGGTCGATGAACGGTGAATTGACTGGTCAATTGACACAAAAAAATTCGACCCGTTAATTCGATATGGCTAACCTCAAGCCACAACACGCTTTCCTTAGCGACGTCATCATATTATAAAAATGTCTCTTCTTATATATAGCGATTTTAAATGTTCAGATTGATTTACAGCTGTGTCTTGTTGATACTATGTATTAATTTTTTGACCAATAATTTTATATATTAAAGTAAATCATTTTTCTATTTTCCTAATGGTGTAATAGATTCTTAAAGGGTGCTATTCTTTCTTATCAATAAAATTTAATTTCAAAAATTTAATATCACGATCCTTTCAGTTTTTTTTTAACATATCACATTTACCATCATTTTTTTCATTTTCATAGTCTTCTTGCTCGAAACCTATTGGAATAGTACCCAATTCACAATTCACGCGCTTTACAGGCTGTCTCAAACACCCACATTTTTTATTTCACGCTGTTCCTGACTATAAATACTTCCATTCAATATAAATAAGTAACTACTTCACTCTGTTAGTTATTACTAAATTCGTTTTTAGGTAATACGTTTCATACACCTATGCAACTTTTTAATTACTTTTTTTTCTATCGTAAACAATTTCCAAGATATCAGCGGCCGACACACTATTGCGACGCCCTCTATAACGTGTAAACGTCAGAAAGAAATGTCAGCACCTTAAAAGTTTATTAATATCTCTAGTAATTAGTTTAATTGTAACTTTTTAAACAAAAATTATAAAAGGTGTATGTTTAACAAAAATTATCCCGGGTCAGACATATCAAAAAAGATTCTTCAAATCAAAATTTTACATGTTGACACAAAATAAAGGTAACTACAAAAATTTACTAGGCCTATAGACGTTTTCCGGGAAAAAATGCAAGATCAAATGGTAACACGCATTTTCCTAAAAATCAGGCACTCTTATCTCAATTGTATCGAGGTTAGGGTGCAAATCACCAAATTTCAAAATACACGGGACCCATCAATAAACATACATTTTAAAAAGTAAACTTCGCCACTCTGTATACTAGGATTCTTTTTTATAGTCAAAACAATATATGGCTAACGGATTGATCTAATTTTGTGACACCTTATATATATTTAAATTATGGAAAAAAGCATGTATGATATAAATATGTCACATTAATTTTCCAAAATTTAACATTTATAAAAAAAGACAATAAGAAACACGTAACATGGAAATCCACTTAGTAATAAAAGTGAGAAAATTATACAAGTGCCGACAATAAATTCAACGCAAAACGGGAGCGTCAACAAATTCTATCTTCATCAGTTGATTCTCCTTCCGTTGAGTTAGTTCGACAGATGTGCCGCGATGACGACAAAAGGCCGTTGAAAAAAGATCAATTACGCAGGCCCCCTTTATGCGCCGCACGCCATAATCGATTCCCTTCGCCCCTAACCGACACGAAGGGGTCGCTAAAACGCGAAAAACAAAACTCGTTTTCTGTGGGAATAACGCTCCAATTTTCTGCCGAAAACAATTCAATGCAATTTAAAAGAATGTTTAAGTAAATTTAGGTTAGCATTCGCATTTAAACAACGTTTCTTTTATAAATGATAAACTTGATCAAATTTGATAGAAAGCAAAAATATATTTCAAAATCCGTAAAACAACTTTTACGCACGAATTTTAATTATATGTGCAATTTCATATATATCTTATGCTTTAATATACAGATCTGTGAAAAATGGACTCAAAACATATTTTTATGATAATGTCAATAATTTTTTTCAAAAATGAAACTAACATAAGGTGACCAACTATTTTTTGCAAGTATTTCATAGGTTAAAAAACGATAAAAACTTTATTTTCTTTTAAAAACACACTTTTCTTCAGACTGGATTTTTTTTGGCTAAATGAGGTCACATCCGAACAATTTTCAGACTGTTACGACGGCAGATAATATTTTTACAGTTGCGGCTTCTCACTGTTCCAATAATCATTCCCTATTTTCCCTATTTCTATTAAAACTTATAAATTTTAATGTCTTTTCATTTCTACCCATCTTTTTTCAAGTTCTATTTTCTCATCGTTAGATTTCTTCAATTTTTTTGATTTAAATATAAATTTACTCTTCGAATGTCTTCGAAGAGAAAATTGTCATTAATAACAATTACTTTCATTTCCTTCATTACAAATTCAACTGTGCAGAAACTTGTTCCCATTCAATTTTACTATTTATTTCAAACAATTTAATACTCTAAAGTTCACTATCCATTCTTCGAGATATTTATAACAAATTTTATTAAA